TCCTAATATTTCCATCAGTGCTAGGTCAAGTGCGAAAATGGACAATATTGGTCCATTCCTTCTGGTACCTCCCCCACAAAGGGCCAAAATTTTGAATAATTATAATTCTTATAAAATGTGATGTGAGAGCCTCATTGTCTTCAAATTTCACACATCCCAATATTTATATTAACCCAAGGTCTGGTGTTAAGATGGATAATTTCGGCCCACTCCTACTGGTACCTCCCGCACAAATGGTCGAAATTTGCAAAAAAAAAAAATATTTTCTGCACAGAAAGGGAAGCAATTATCTAATTTTGCTCTAATTTTGCAAATCCTAATATATGCGTCAGTTCTAGGTCAGGTGCCAAAATGGATAATATTGGTCCACTCCATCAAGTGCCTCTCCCACAAAAGATCAAAATTGTGAATAATTATAACTCACCTCTACACAAGTAGAGTGCTAAATTTCAATTATAGAGCTAAACAATCTCTTAAAAACAATTTTATGCGATTTTGTACCTCTCGTTCCCTTAAAGTACGATTGTTCCAAAATGTGCGTTTTATCACACCCTTGATTCAAAATTTCACAGCTATAACTCTTTATGAGTGCTCAATAAAATTGTTGTACAATTTGTACTAAAATGTATCCTTAAAGTATGAATTCCCAAAATCCTGCATCGCAAAGAATGATTCTCGTACAAAATTTCAAAATTTTAGTTCTATCCTGTCGGTTTTTTACCCTTTATTACCTTTCGTACCCTACTCATGTCCAAAAATTCCGCCATAACTCACCTTGACCTTGATTAAAAGTTTTTCTTATCGGTCGCTCAATAGCTGTGGTTTCCTATGTCGTACCTTTTAGTACGACCGCGGAACCGGGCGGAACTTTTAATACATCCCACCATTTGGAAGGAAGTTGAAATTTTTCAAAAAAAAAAAAAAAAAAAAAATCCGAATAAATATCGTTTAAATAATGACCTTTATTAAGGGCCCATACGAAGACGTGGGCCTGCATAAGTAATTCTTTTCATAGGCTGTAGTAGCCATTGAGATCTTCAAACACGAAATTTGAAACAGTTTCTGAATTTGAAACAATGTTGCTAAAATCATCAAAATACCGAATAAAGGGAGATTACTTTATGTATACAAAGACGTGGACCTGCCTTAAAAACTTCGAATACGAAATTTGAAACGATTCGGGTGAATAATGACGCGAAAATCATGACAATACCGAATATCGGGATGTACCGATATATGGAGGCTATACGAAAACGTGGACCGACATGACCCATTTACAAAAATAACCCGCCTACTGGAAAAATACACATGTGTGCAAAATGTTAACCTTCTATCTCAATTTGTTCTAAAGATAGCGTGATTACAAGAGACCGACATACGGACATCGCTAAATCGTCTTAGGATTTTACGCGGATCCAGAATATACATATACTTTGGTAGGGTCGATCATTAATATTTCGAGAAGTTACAAACGGAATGACAAAGCTAATATACCCTCCAAAGAATGATGGAGGGTATAATAACACTACAAGGTACCCTTTAGGTACAAATTCCGAAAAATATTTCATTACTTCATTAGTTTTCATTAGGTTTTGATTGTATTTGTAATGAAAAAAGTGTTTGGTTGCTATTTTTTCTTATCCCGTCTGACTTTTTTCCTCTCTTACACCTAAGCCCTTTCCAACCTGTTAAATTCCTCTACACCTTCACCAGGTTTAACATTTCTTCCATCCACATTTACAGCTCTATTAACAATTGTTTTGCATATGTTTTACAACACATAATAATATTATTAATGACAAAGAAATTTGTGGAGACAACGTTTTTTATTTTGGAAAGCAATGCCTCTAAGCGTGTAGCTCGCTCTACACTTCACTACTTGCGAACGTGTTGCTAATATTAATAAAGTTCACATGGGCCAAAACTAATGGATGAGTCAAAGCAATAACACGCTTGTTTAAGCTATACTTTTGCTCTCGCCTAAAAAAAAAAAAAAATGCATGAAATGTTAACAGGGCAAGTAGATCAAAGAGCAACAAAAACAACGAAGTAGGTGGATGATTTTTGTTGGGCACCAAACCTAAAAAAACATTTTAATTAAAAATCTTGACAAAGATATACCGACAAAGCATTATGAGGGTTGCGAGTTGTGAAAAATCAGAAGTTTTTTAATGAGATTATAAAAAAGGAGCTTCGTATACGGGAAAATAAATGTATAGGAACAACATGAATGAATATATGAAATATAATAATATTTAACAAAAATTAAAAAATCTGCCTATACAAATGTACCGATTTTCAGAAATTTATTAGACAGAAAATTACAAGTTTTTATATACGTATGAATTTATTATATATAAGGTACCTATTATTATACTGAAATAAATTATAATAATAGGTACCTTATATATGATAAATTCATACGTATATAAAAACTTGTAATTTTCTGTCTAATAAATTTCTGAAAATCGGTACATTTGTATAGGCAGATTCTTAAATTTTTGTTAAATATTATTATATTTCATATATTTGATATATTTAAGTGATCTTAATACCAAAATACACAACTCTAGCTCTTTCCCTACACTATATTCTAGATTTAGTACTTTTCGTACACTACATAGCACGCATTTCCAAAAACTGCTCCTTTTCTGACCCATAGTTATCCTCATTGCAAAAATCATAAGTTCAGCTCTATTCCTACACATATGCCAATTATAGTATCATTTAGTACTATTTGTACATGCTCTAAATAGGGTTTCCAAATTCACCTTCTTATCCAAAGGGTCACAGAGATCCCTATACCAATATTTACTCTTTTACCTCTTTTCCATTTTGTACCATATAGTACTTTACGAACATTTTATTTAGACATTTCCAAATTCTAGTCCTCATCTAAACGCATAATACCAAAATTTACAACTCCAGTTCTATTTCTGTATTACATGCTATATTCAGTACCATTTAGTACTTTTGGTACACTTGCGATACACATTTGCAGAAATACATTTTCCTATATTAAACCTTAACACATGCTGCTTTATCAATTTCGGCAAAAATAAATTGAAGCAAATTTAGTACATAGTTCCAAAACCGTATACAGCCACTTCTTTAACTTGATCTTATACAAAATGGTACCAAATTTAGTTAATATAAGTACTTTTGGCGCACTTATAGTTTGAATTTCCAAAAAACCTTAGGTTCGTCTATCCTACACAACATTAGGGACCCTCATTCCAAATTCCAGATTTCCGGCTCTATGTCTTCCCAAAATACCAAATTTAGTACCATTTAGTACTTTCTGTGTTTTTTAGCATGTACATATTTCCAAAGCTACATTTATATCTAAACCCCAATGTACAAAAAGAGACCCTTACACAAAGATTTCTCATATACCAAATTTAGTACCATTTTGTACTTTTTTAGTCCATATTTCCAAAAAATTCGAAACACCTTCCTTTACACCATTAAAGACCCTCCTTCTAAATTTCAGATTTCCGGCTCTATGTCTTCTCCAAATACCAACTTTAGTTCCATTTAGTACTTTCTATGTTTTTAGTACATATTTCCAAAGCTACATACATATCTATACTCCACTTTACATATCTATACCCCCTTTATACCAAAATTCCAATTTCCAACTATATCCCTTCCTCATATCCCAAATTTAGTACCATTTAGTATTTTTCGTACTTTTTATACCCCCAGCCATATGGCTAGTGCCTCATCGAAATAACGGCTTTAGATCATATGTCTGTTTGGGTCAAATCCGTTTTAGGACATTTGGAGTCGATCTAGCAATTTGAAGTCGATATAGCAATATCCGTCCGTCCGTCTGTCTATCTTAGTGGTTGGTGCGCACGATAACTTCCGAAGGGAATATCCGAATTGGTCCAAACTTGGCACATCATAATATTATTGTTAAACTTAGATCAAGTTCGGAGATGACCAATATCGATCCACTCCTAATGGTACCTCCCCCACAAAAGGTCGAAATTTTCAAAGAAAATATTTTGAAATTTTCAAAGAAAGAAAAAGGATGATTCGATATTGCTCCAGCTTTCCGAATCCTAATATTTGCAACAGTGCTAGGTCAGACGGGAACATGGACAATATCGGTACACTTCATCAAGTACTTCCCTCAAAAAGGGTCCACATTTTGAATAATTATAACTTTTATAAAATGTGGTGTAAGAGTCCGATTGTCTTTTAAAATTCACACATCACAATATTTGTTTTAACCCAATATCTGGTGTAAAGATGGAATATGTCGATCGACTCCTTCTGGTACCTCCCCCCCAAAGGATAAAAATTATAAACACGATTATAAAATCCAAAATAAGCATCCCGTTTTCTTCATATTTCACGCATCCCATTATTTCCACGAACACAGCATATCTTGTGTGGAGATTGGATATATCGGTTCACTCCTTCCGGTACCTGCCCCCACAAAGGGTCAGAATTTGGAATAGCCATAAAGCTCGTAAAACGAGAAATAAGCATCGGATTCTCTTCAAATTTCACACATCTCAATACTACTAACAAAATATCTGATGTGAAGATAGGATATCTCGGTTCACTCCTTCTGGAACCTCACCCACAAAAGGTCGAAATTTTCAAAAAAAAGAAAAATATTCTACTGTACAAAAAGAGAAAGGATAACCCGATTTTGCTCCAACTTTGCACATCCAAATATGTGCATCAGTGCTAGGTCAGGTGCTAAAAGGAGCTAGTACCTTCCCACATGACATGTCTGCACCGTTTCAAATTATCCTGCAACGAATTTTGGTCGAAATCTGACCTTCAACAAAATAGTTATTTCTCTATCTTCACCTAAGGTATAATAAAACGGAATATGTCCATTTGAGGGAATAAGAATTATGGTTTTGGGTTTCAACCACCCCTAGTTTTGTCACTACTTCGAGGTTGAACATCACACCCTTTGTTTCACACAATTAAAATTTAATCTAAAATTCCAAGAAAAAAAATTAAAAACTTACCTCCTGTAAAAATTGCTTGCGAAATCCCTCTCTTGTATGTTTCCCCTCGCCCAACAAGGCGCTGCATTCGGAAATTAGCAGCCAACGAATTTTATCACGTTTCGCTTCCAGTTCCATGGCACTGCAGTTATTCTTATCTAAATTAAGATTGTAACCCTCCATGTATTTGATGGCATGTTCGGCTTGTTCTTCGCTAATTTCTTGCATATCGGAGGAACACTCTTGCAGAGGGGCGTTGTTACAGGGGGTGGACTTGTTTGCGGCTGCCGCACCACTATTTATCATAGACGATCTGGGTGGTTTATAGGGAGTCTCCAGTGAAGTTGTTGACTCGGCGGATGATGTGGAAGATTTTGTGGAGCGTGCTGCCTCCGTTGAGGGTGTGGACAGGCCAGATGGTGAAATGGAGCCGGAACGTGAAGTTAGATGTAATACAGCGGGTACGGGTGAGGGTGGGGTATAAGACAATATTGTTGTGGCTGTGGTGGCGTTTAATGGTGGCGACATCGTTTGGGTAGGTGTTGTGATAATTTGGGGATTCGTTGTTGTTGTTGTTGTTGCATTTCCTGAGCTCTGATGATGGCCACCATCAACTAAATCTATATTTAAACTACTTTTAAACTTATGGCTATCGTTGGCCTGATTTTTACTATGAGATTCTTGAGGTACTACCACCTTGGCCACGTTAGGAGCATGCATTTTCTCCAAATACTGTGCAGCTTGTGTCAACATAAACTCCACTGGATTTTGTGATGGTGGCTCTTTTTCCACCATCAACTGCACCTGATGCTCCAATGTTGTTGTTGTTGTTGACGGCCGTATTGTTGAGGTATTCCTTTGCTGTTGATCCGAGGTAGTTGTACTATTGAGATTTAGACTATTAATCATTTTATCACTTGATTTTGACAACGCATTGTTGTTGTGGTTGTTGGTGTTATGCTGTTGATTGGCCGCAGAACCGGCCTTATCACCCGCCCCATTGTCATAGGGCAAATCATCGGAGAATGAAACTTTTTTCGGTGATCGCGTTGGTGTTGCCGGCACCTCAAGGGAATTTGTCGATGACACCGAACCACGATGCTGTTCGGCATTTGTGGTGTTAATTGTTAATTTATAATTATTTTCCATGTTCTGTTGTTGTTGTTGTACAGGTGTCGTGTTGCAAACGTTTGATGGTTGGCTGGTTTGTTTGTTTCTTTTACAAATTTGTTCTGTCGTTCAAGTCATAAACACTTGTTAATCGTTCATAATTTTAGTTGACGTCTTCGTTTTTTTTGTTGCTGCTATTGTTGTTGTGCATTAATCATAGAAACACAGAATTATTTGAGAATTTTTATGCCGCTGAAACACAAAATAAAGAAAAAAATAAACATTTTAACACAAATCATAACTTTTTTGACGTTTGGACCTTTAGACAGCCGTTGATGTGAGAGGGTACACTTTTTGCAGTTAATTAATTATGTTTTTGTTTTTTTTTTATTTTTATTATTTTTTTGTTAATTTAGTGTTGGGTTTCTATTTATGTTGTTTATTTGTTTGGTGATCACAGAGTTTGAAGTGATTGTAAACAGACGCTTTTTCAAATCCGTTTTGTAGTTTCGGTATAATGCAGGTAATTTTTTCGACATAGCCTTCATAAAATATTTTTAAGATTTTTTTAGACAACCGAAATTTTGGATCTCTGGAAATGTTAATAACACAATCAAATCCTATACAAAATGTAGGTCTTTTTTTATTAATTATTTGTTTACATATTTTTATTGTCGGTCCATGTTTTGGTATAGCGCCCAAGTAAAGGTACACCCCGATTTCAAGATTTTCTAAATTTTAGCCATATTTTTATACCCTCAGCCATATGGCTAGAGAGGGTACAGGGTGAGAAAAAACTGCAACAAAGTCAAACGCCATTATTTTGACATTTTTTTAAATTTTATGGGATGAAACCAAAAAATTTGGAAATAGAATCAAAGTTCAGAAAAAGTTTAGATTTGATCGAATTGGGCACCTTTGGCACGAATTATGGCCCTCGAGCGGCCAATGAAACCGTCACACGCTGCCCGAATGTTGCTCTGCGGTATTTTGGCCCATACCCGGCGAAGCGCTTGCTTGAGGAGATCAACACTTTGGTATCCGGAGATTTTGGTGGCCATTCTGCGGTGGAAATGAAGCGAAGAACCTATTTTTGTAACCAATCTTGGGTGGCGCGTGCTGAATCCGATGGTGCTGAGTCTTGATGGAATGTCCGAGGTCTGCGGCCAAAAAGTTTGCATGCCCAAGGCTTTAATACACGGAGAAAACCAAATTCGGCAGTTCACCACTTTCGACCAAGCGATGCAACTGTTTAGCTCTTTTGAGTCTATTTTCTTTCTGTTGCGGTGTAAGTTCTTGCACTGTTTTGGAATTTCAATGACTTTACCCCGAGCTCATTTTTCAATATTTGCAGAATGGAGTTTTGCGATATGTTCAGCTCACGAGCCATTTTTCGATCACTACGATGCGGGTATCGATCAAGTCGCTTCTTTACTTTTCGTACCATTTCTGTTGATGTGGCTGTTTTCTTTCGCCCACTTCCTTGTCGTTGGGCTACGCTACCAGTATCACGGTAACGAGCCAGGGTACGAGAAATAGACTCAAAAGATCTAAAGAGTTGCTTTGCTTGGCCGAAAGTGGTGAACTGCCGAATTGGGTTTTCTCCGATGAGAAAACATTGGTCCTCCAGCAGTTTGCAAACAAACAAAATTATCCGGGTTTACTTGCCATAGAGGTCAGCTGAAAATGTGCACGTTCGGTTGGCCACCAGAACTCAAGCGCCGGTCATGGTGAGATGGTGTGGGTCGCCATAACAGCCGATGGTCGCTCTCCGCTCGTATTAATCGACCGTGGCATCAGAATAAATGTCGCATATTATCGCGAAAATTTTCTGGAGGGTGTATTAAAGCCTTGGGCACGCAAACAGTTTGGCCGCAGACCTTGGACATTCCAACAGGACTCTTCACCATCGCACTCAGCACGCACCACCCAAGAATGGTTACAAAATGAGGTTCCTCGCTTCATTTCCAGCGCACAATGGCTACCAAAATCTCCGGATACCAATCCGTTGGACCATTGTGTCTGGAGTATTTTGGAAAGCAAGGTTGGCACTAAAAAATACCAAAGTTTCTATCACCTCAAGCAAACGCTTCGCCGGGAATGGGCCAAAATACCAAAGAGCAACATTCGGACAGCGTGTGGGGGTTTCATAGGCCGTGCGAAGGCCATAATTCGTGCCAAAGTTGACCAATTCGAACAAATCTAATATTATTCTAAAATTTGATGCTATTTCCGACATTTTCGCTTTCATTTAATAAAATTTAAAAGAAAAATGTAAAAATTATGGCAGTTTTTTTATCTCACCCTGTATATCCTTAATCGTACGCAGAGGGCCTCAAATATTTTGCTCTTTGTTTCAAAAAAATTAAGATAGAACCTTTAAACTTAATACAGGAGTACAAGTAAAATCAATTGTTCAAGATATGGGTCATGTCGGCCCAAGTTTTGGTATGGCGCCCAATTACATTTAAGACATATTTTTGTTCCCTTAGCCAAATGGCTACGGAGGGTATACATCATTTGATACGGCGAAAACATGCATAGTCGAAATAATGGTTTTAGATCTTAGGTCTGTTTGGAACAAATCCGTTTCAGGACATTTGGAGTCGATCTAGTGATGTCCGTCCGTCTGTCTGGCTGGCGCGCACATTAACTCTCGAAGGGAATATCCGATTTGGTCTAAACTTGGTACGTGGTAATATTTTTGTCAAACTTAGATCGAGTTCGGAGATGGGCAATATCGGTCCACTCCTTTTGGTATCTCCCCCATAAAAGGTCGAAATTTTCAAAAAAATATATTTTGTGCACAGAAAGAGAAATGATAATCCGATTTTGCTCCAACTTTCCAAATCCTAATATTTGCATCATTGCTAGGTCAAGTGCGAAAATGGACAATTTCGGTCCACTCTATCAAGTACCTTCCTCACAAAGGGTCAACATTTTGAACAATTACACCCTTATAAAGTTTTATGTAAGAGTCTGATTGTCTTCAAATTTCACACATCCCAATATTTTTATTCACCCAAGGCCTGGTGTGTAGATGACATATATCGGTCCTCTCCTTCTGGTACCTCCCCCACAAAAGGTCGCAAAGGTTTTCAAAAATATATATTTTGTACACAGGAAGAGAAACGATAATCTGATTTTGCTTTAACTTTACAAATTCTAATATTTGCGTCACTACTAGGTCAGGTGCGAAAATAGACAATATCGGTCCACTCCATGAAGTGCCTCAATCACAAATGGTCAACATTTTGAATAATTGCAAATCTTATAAGATGTGATGTAGAGTCCGAATTTCTTCAAATTTCACACATCCCAATATTTTTACTCCAAAATTTGAATAATCATAACAGAACTTAATATATATTTAAATTGCCGAACGTTGGCTGAGGACATACACATGTCGACAAAACCGTCTGACAATTTTTAACTCGTTTTATTTGTTGTACGTTTTATATTTTTCATTAGCATGTGTAAGAATATTGAATATTATTGAAATTTATTTGTTTGGTCTTATTTTATAAATATTTAGAGGAATTTTAAGTATATTATTTACAATTCTAATTTCTTAATACATTGTATTTTTTATTGTCGTGGATTACTCATTGATCCAAATAATTTCTATTTTAATTTTTGTCTAATTTTATGACCGAATTTTTGGAATATTTTAATATTCATGGATATTGATTAAAAACATGTTTTTAGTTCTTGTTAATTTGTTTAGTAATTCCGAATTATTTTATATTTTTTTAATAATGTAATAATAAATTTATTTTTGTATTTTTCTTTTTCATTTATCATTAATAAAATTAACTTTAAATTTTTTTTGTCAAAAAAATGCCTTTTTATGTTTCGAAGTTTTTTTGGGAGTCCTTATTTATTTTGTTTACTGCATAATTTTTAATTTGTTTTCATTTTTTAAATTCGATATTGTTCGAATATTTTTACTGACCAAAATAAAAAAAGTAACGTTTTAAATTTTGGTTTAATTTTAATATTTGGGAATATTGATTTTAATAATTTAATTAATTTTTATTTATGAACGTATTTTTAAGAATTTTTTAAATAATTTTTTTGTTTCTAAATTTTATATTTTGAAATATATATATATCATTTAAATTTTGTTTTATTTTTTTCAAGACTCTAATTTTTATTTATAAATTATATTTTATTTTTGTTGTTCAATAGAATTTTCGAATATTTTAAGAATGTTTTTATATTTTGCAGTTTTTAATGATTTTGATATTTAATGTTTTATATTATTGTTTTTAATAAAATGATATTTTAGAGGGCTAAAAAATATATATAAATTGATCCGTTAAAATGTGTGCACAACATAAAATTAAAAAAACAAAAACAAGTTAAAAAGTATCAATCGATTGTAACAACAGACGTATGCCCTCAGCCAGTATTCGGTTATTGAAGTATGTTTACACTTCTGTTATGATTATTCAAATTGTTATCCCTCTATGTAGAACGTTACAAAGGAATGGACCAATTTCGTAAATACGATATACATATTGCCATGGGCCAGTTTTGGACTATTTCTCAGGTTGTAAAGAATCGCTGACTTGTTTCGCAAGTTATGACAGATAAAAGTATTGAAAATTGTGACCCTTTGTGGGTGAGGTACCAGGAGGGGTTCTTCACAACAGATCTTATATTAGAAAAAATGTTGGTATGTGTGAAATTTGAGGAGAGTTGGAGGCTTATTTCGCTTTCTTTAAGCGTTTTTTTTTTTCAAAATCTTGAACCCTTTGTGGGGGAGGTACCAGAAGAAATGGTCTGATCTATACCATATTTATAACAGATCTTGTGTTGATGGAAATATTGAGAAGTACCAAGTCTGAAATGGAATCGGATGTTAATTTCACGTTTCAAGAGCTTAATGGATATTCAAAATTTCGACCTTTTTGTGGGGGTGTCAGAAGTTTATTTTTTTATTTTTTTATTTTCATTTGACGCATAGTTTCTATATACTTAAGATATGTTAATCGTTTTTTTTCATTTTTTCATCTGCCTTTTTAATTCAAATTATCATAAATTTTCAGGGTCATATATGATTTTTTTTATAATATAAATTTTTATGGCGTTGTTATTATTTTTATTATTATTTTTTAATTTTTCTGTATTTATGTAATGTTTATGTGTTTGAATTTTTTTAAGTTTTCACATATTTCAAAAATATTTTTACAAGGTGTTTACATTTATATTGTTTGATTTTAACTGAACAAAATTTATTTTTTTTAGTTTTTATTTTTATTTTATTTTAATATTCCGGAATGCAGATTTTAATAATGTTTTAATTTATCCTTTTTTTAATTTTAAATATTTCTTATTAATTGTTTATTAATACTTCTTTATTTATATCATTTATAGAATATATAGAAGTTTGTTTTTTATTTATCACAACTACAATTAACTTTTTCATTTTTGTTCCAAGAATATCCAATATTTTTAATTTTTTTATGTTTCGAAGTTTTTTTTTAGAAATTTTAAATATTTTTTAAACATTTTATTTATTGAAACTTTTTTAATTTAATTTCTTTTTTGACTGATGGCGAAAAATTAAGAAGAAATCATCAATAAAAATGTCCGAACAATATTATAAAATAAAAAAAGTTTATATTCAGGAAAGAAATTTACGTTTTTCAATTTTTTTTTTTTCAAAAAAGTTTTTTTTTTATATCTCGAAGTTTTTTTACGACTCTATCTATTTTTTTATTTAAGACATTTTTTATTACCACCTTTTTTATTTTAATATTGTGCGGATATTTTCACTGATAAAATTTGTTTGTTTTTTAATCTTGATCAGAGATAATATCGAAAATTTGGACTATATTTAATATTTGGGAACATTGATTTTATTAATTTATTTTTCTTATTTATGCACATTTTAAAGCATTTTTTAAACATTTTTATTTATAAATTTTATTTTTTGAAACACTTTACTTTATTAATAGTTTTTTTTTTTATTTTCATGAAACAATTTTTAATTTCTAAAATGTGTTTTATTTTTTTTTTGTTGTTCAATAAAATTTTCAAATATTTTATTAATGCTTTTATATTTTGCATTTCATGGGAATTTTTTGTGTTTTTATTTCATTTTTTATCTTTATTGTTTGCAAAATATATACAATTTTTTAAAATTTTTTATTTTCATTTGTCGATTAGTTCTAGTTTTTTTTTCTAATTTTTTATTTTGATTGCTCTTATGGAATTTTTCATTCATTTTAAATTGTCACAAATATTCAGGGTCAGATATGATTTTTATTATTATGTTAATTTTTATAATTATTTCGGTAAATATTTTTTCATTATTTTGTATTTAAAATTTTTATGTGCTTAATTTTTTTAATGTTCTGACATATTTTAAAATTACTTTTTGTGTCTAATTTCTTCATATTTTAATAATTTTTTTTTTTTTTTTTTTTTTCAATTTGCTAATTTTTTATGTTTTTAATAATTTTAAAATTATTATTTTTATTTAATTTAATAATAATAATAATTTTAATAATTTAAAAATTTAATAATTTTTTTAACTATTGTGTATTTAAAATTTTTATGTGTTTGATTTTGTTTAAGTTGAAATGTGTGAACTTCAAGCTTATTTTTTGTGTCATTTTTTTCTAAATATTTTAATAACTTTTTTTATTTTTTTCAATTTGCTAATTTTTTATATTTTTAATAATTTTAAAATTATTATTTTTATTTAATTTAATGATAATAATAATTTTAATAATTTAAAAATTTAATAATTTTTTTAACTATTGTGTATTTAAAATTTTTATGTGTTTGATTTTGTTTAAGTTGAAATGTGTGAACTTCAAGCTTATTTTTTGTGTCATTTTTTTTCTAAATATTTTAATAACTTTTTTATTTTATTTTTAATTTTCTGATTTTTTATTTGGGTTCTCTTTCACCCTTTTTCTTTGTTTCATTTATTATTTTTTATTAATTTCCAACAATTAATCACAAAAAAATCAACCAATCAATCTCATATCCAATTTTTGGCAGTTTCCAATTTCTCTTGAATTTTTGAATAATTATTTCCCCTTCCATTATTACTCTCTCCCAGCCACACACTTTTATTTTCATTTCTTGTTAAAACTACTTTTTTTTAACAAAATTTCACTTTTAAAAAATATAATTTTCACCCAAAATATTATTTAATGAAGTTTAACCGTCGTTAAAAAAAATAATAATTTTCAAATTAAATTGTTTACGCGCTTGAAATATTCAACAATTTCGTAAGAGAGAAGCAGACGTGCGAATTCAGCAGTGAAACAGCAACTGAAAGGGAAATTGTTCAGAATTATTGCACAACACGGTTAACAAGGCACAAAACGCAAACACACATGCACATACACACATAAAACAATGATTAAGGTAACAACAGATCGGTTGGTAGGTTGTGAGTTTCTCTTATACTCAACGACGATCAGACGAGTCGCAATGGAGTCTTGTTTACAATCCACAACAACAATGTTTTACGTGGAGGGGGAAACATTTACAATCCACTTGGAGTTTTTGTGTTTGGGAGTATAATTCGTAAAGTGCAGGAGAGATTACTCCTCTCTCTCTCTTCCTCTCACAATTCAGCCGTAGAGTTGTGCATGCATTGTTGCACGCATCCAACTACTACCGCAAAGCGCGAATGGCATTGTTGCATTTGCTGTGCTGTGTCCCATTGCTAGAGGATTTTTCCGATTAGTTGGAGTTTTCAAACGGTGATCATCGTTAGACTTGGCGGGGCCAATAGAAACGTTCGAAAGCATAGCATACCGAACCGAATGCCTAATGGCAATGTAAGGCAACACAGCCGGCCGTCGCGTCTGGGAGACACTGTTTCCAAAAGGTGTTTCACTCACCAACTGCCTAGTTTTGCTTCACAAATCACTGCTCAATCTTAAAACGTTTGTTATGAGCATGCGCGCGATTCACTTCGGTTACACTAATTGATCTTGATTTCGTTTTTACGGATGGATGTATATATGTATGTCTTTGTGTCTAGGGCAAGTCTGAACTATTTACGAGAATTATGCCATTGACAATCGATCGTTCGAGTAAGCGGATGATCCGCTTTGACGTTAAACGTTTCGGTGTAATCCGTTCGAGTTTTGAAATTCAACTGAACACGTTTTGTGCGCTGAAAACAATATTCCACTTTGGAGCTCGAGAGGGGGCTATGTGTCTGACTACATGTGCTCAGCAACTTGTGTTGCTGCGAAGCAACAACAACGACTAAACAAAAACAAAAGGTAACCCATCCAACAGCAGTTAGCCCTCCTGCTCGATATTCGTTTAATTAAAAAAAGTTTCAGTGGCATTGTTGCTGATATTTTTCTCCATTGTAAAAGCAGAACATACACAAAAAAAGAAGAAAAAAAAAAGAAAAATAAAAATTTTCAAAAAAAAAAAAAAAAAAAAAATAGTTGTTTGTTTCGATTTCTTGGAATGCTGGTGTGATGCTGTTGTGCTCGTTAATTATGTCGGCCGGATTTTTTTTTCCTTCTGAAATTTCAAAAAAAAATATTGAAATGTTTACTTCAGAGCAGAGCTCTCTCTGAGAAAAAAATGAAATGCACTTGATCTAAAATCAAAAATCTGTTTTTGTTTTGGTATTGGTGTGAAAATGTTTATGTTAATCAAATGTTGTTTTGGTGTGTGTGTGTGAAAGTGCGTGTGTGTAAATTTGAAAGGGGATTTTTAAATGCAAGATCTGAAATTAAAAAAAACGACGACTGAGAAGTGAACTCTTTTCCATTGTTTTCAAATAAGTAATTGCGTGTAATTGTGAATGATTAATACAAGTGGTCCCCCCTCCTTTCCCCAAGAATATAAATTAGCTGTAAATTATAAACAACGTTGACAAGGTCAATATATTGAATCAAAATTATAATTTGGTAAGGGGTTGAGTTGGGTACAAAAAGAGAAAATATTTCCAAAATTTTAAACAATTCTTAATCAGGCACCCAGGATAATTTTTTTGACATGTCCTCAAGTTTTTTCAGAGAAACAATTTTTTTTTCAATAGAAAAAAATCGTTAGACGCCAAGACTCTTATTTTTTTGGATTAGACATAGAGGCATCGGGAAAAATGTAAAAAAAATGATGGAAAACACCAGAGAACTGTGGCTCTGCGAATTTTTTCTATAGAAAAAAAACAGACCTGTGGCTCTGCGAATTTTTTCTATAGAAAAAAAAACAGACCTGTGGCTCTGCGAATTTTTTCTATAGAAAAAAAAACAGACCTGTGGCTCTGCGAATTTTTTCTATAGAAAAAAAACAGACCTGTGGCTCTGCGAATTTTTTCTATAGAAAAAAAAACAGACCTGTGGCTCTGCGAATTTTTTCTATAGAAAAAAAAAACAGACCTGTGGCTCTGCGAATTTTTTCTATAGAAAAAAAAACAGACCTGTGGCTCTGCGAATTTTTTCTATAGAAAAAAACCAGACCTTTGGCTCGGCTATTTTTTTTTTTCTATAGAGAAAAAATTCATGGAGTTGAGGTCACTGCGAATTTTTTTCTATAGAAAAAAATCAAAGACCTGGTGTGACTGCGATTTTTTCTATGGAGAAAAAGATCAGAGATCTGAGGTCATTGGGAATTTTTTTGCTGTAGAGAAAAATATCTGTGAACTTTCTTCTATACAGAAAAAAGAGAAAAGAATTAGGGGGCTGTTTATCAGCGAATTTTTCTTGGTTCTGCAATTTTTTTTCTGTGGAAAAAAAATCAGAGAGCTTTGGCTCTGCAATTTTTTTTCTATGGGAAAATAATCAGAGAGCAGTGGCTCTGCGAATTTTTTTTCTCTACAGAGAGAAATCCTCCGGCTCTTCTATGGGAAGACCTCCGACCCTTCTATGGGAAGACCTCCGACTCTTCTATGAGAACAACCCGTCTCTTCTATGAGAAGACCCCCGTCTCTTCTATGAGAAGACCCCTGTCTCTTCTATGAGAAGACGCCAGGCTCTTCTATGAGAAGACCCCGTCTCTTCTATGAGTAGACCCGCGGCTCTTCTATGAGAAATCCTAACTCCGGCTCTTCTCTCTAAAGACCTCCAGACATCTTTGAAAAGTCCTATTTTTTAAGCAGTCCTCCGGTTCTTATATGAGAAGACCTCCGGCTCTTCCATTAGAAGACCTCCGGCTCTTCCATGAGAAGACATCCGGTTCTACTATGAGAAGACCTCCGGCTCTACTACGAGAAGACCACCGACTCTTCTATTAGAAGACCCTCGGCTCTTTTATGAGAAGAACTCCGAATCTTTTTTGAAAATACCTCCGGCTCTTCTATGAGAAAAAAAATTTCCGCACTTCTTTGGGAAGAACTTCTGAATTTTTTTAAAGAAAAACTGGTATTCTCTTTAAAAATTGAGTGTTATAGATCTGAAATGGTCTTTCTGTAAAAACAGACCAGACCATTTTGTACCAGAGAGTCATTTCGGGGGAAAGTCATTCCTTGTAGACTGCTATTTTCATACCGTAGAAACATTTTTTCCTCGGCACTTGGATATTTTTTCTTTAGAAATAAATTCAGACCTCAGGTTGTACAGATTTTTTTCCTTTGAAAAAAGTTTTCGCTGTTATGCTTTCTGTGTAGAAAAAATCACTGACCTTCAATTCCATTTTCAAATTCGACCCAAGTATTTTTTTTTTAAAAAGTTTTGAAATTCATAGGTTGCTCTAATTTTCGACGTAATTGATCGACCGCCTGTTGCATTCGGGTTGTATAATAATTCAAAGAATAACCACTGAAAATGGCAACAACAACAAAAACAACATGAGACACCTAGCAAGAATTTCATTAAAACATCACGTATGAATTAGTAGGCAATAACAACAACAATGCGAAGGAAAACGTTTCACATTTTCAAGAAGAGAACAAAAAAGCGAAACCAAACGACTCATCAAAAAACAATGAAATCCAGAAATAGATGGGTGTCAAATTGCGAATTTGAAATTTAAAAAAAAAGAACAGAATTTTTGTATCGAAGGTAATATTTTTTTCTTTGGGAAAATTACTTTTTAAGAAGCGAGATTTTTTTTAAGGAATTTTAGAAGATCTCAGGAGTAGAGGACTTTGTGCTGAGGTTTACAATTATCTAATTCAGAAATAATTTTTTATTTATATATAATTTTTATAAAATACGTTTGAGAAGTACCTATACACGGTGAGATAAAAACTGCAACAAAGTCAAACGCCAAAATTTTTACATTTTTTTTTAATTTTATTGAATGAAAGGAAAAAATGTCGGAAATAGCATCAAATTGTAGAATAACTTTAGATTTGTTCGAATTGGTCACCTTTGGCACGAATTATGGCCTTCAAACGGCCAATGAAACCGTCACACGCAGCCCTAATGTTGCTCTGCGGTATTTTGGCCCATTCCCGGCGAAACGTTTGCTTGAGGTATTTTTTAGTACCAACCTTGCTTTCCAAAACTATCCAGAAACAATAGTCCAACGGATTGGTATCCGGAGATTTTGGTGGCCATTGTGCACTGGAAATGAAGCGAGGAATCTCATTTTGTAACCATTCTTGGTTGGCGCGTGCTGAGTGCGATGGTGCTGAGTCCTGTTGGAATGTCCAAGGTCTGCGGCCAAAATGTTTGCGTACCTAACACTTTAATACACCATCCAGAATATTTTCGCCATAATATTCGGCGTTTATTCTGATGCCACGGTCGATTAATACGAGCAGAGAGCAACCATCGGCTGTTATGGCGGCCCACACCATCACCATGGCCGGCGCTTGAGTTCTGTTGCCCAACCAGGGTGCATATTTTCAGCTGACCTCTTTGGCAAGTAAACACGATTATTCTGTTTGTTTACAAACTGCTGGACAACGAAAGTTTTCTCATCGGAGAAAACCAAATTCGGCAGTTCACCATTTTCGGGAAAGCGAAGCAACTCTTTAGCTCTTTTTAGTCTATTTTCTTTCCGTTGCGGTGTAAGTTCTGGCACTTTTTGGAATTTCAATGGCTTTACCCCGAGCTCTTTTCTCAATATTTTCCGAATGGAATATTGCGATATGTTAAGCTCACGAGCCATTTTTCGGCCACTGCAACATGGGTTTCGATCAAGTCGCTTGTTTACTTTTCGAACCATTTTTGCTGATGTTGCTGTTTTTTTCCGTCCACTTCATTGACGTCGGGTTATGAGACACATTTAAATGCTGGAGTGCTCTAACGATAGCCACTTGTGGTTTTCCAGCCAAATATGAGGAAATCACACTATCACGCTTGAATTCCATCACGAATAACTTTTTTCCTGGCAAATTCTCCCGAAAATGCTTTTGTACGCTTGTAAAGAATATAATGAGCTATCACACGAAAAATTTTAACAGCTGTCGGACGAGTGGCTTAGAAATGACAGCAGTCTGAAGTTGGTTGCAGTTTTTTCATCCAACACTGTAGAGGATCTCTACTTTCATAGGATAAGTTATTCGTCCTCTTCATTGATTCTCAAAAATGCAAGTTAGCTGCACTGGATATACACGTATTT